TTTGTCAACTACGTTTTGTTATAAATTTATTTTCGTCCTAATTCATCTAGTTATCGTCAAAATCTTACTAAAACTGATGCTCAAGAAACAGAATGCTGCGACTTAAGAAAACTTTCCTTTCCTGATGTTTCCCACTTTTTTCGTTTCTAGCATTCGAAGTTCTACTTCGCCGATGTCTTGGGTAATGATATAAAAAAATCGTACCCCTTCCCAACCAGGTCGCCCTATCAAATATAATAAATTCACCAGTTTGCTAGTTTACCATTTCAACTCCTTTCCCTCTTGCAAAAGGTTTTTTTCTTAACAAAATCTTAATAACTTCTACTAACATGCAAATTTCATGCTCCCACTAGACTGCTTGAATTTGCCAGCATACTAAGTGGCTTTAAAACTCCGGCTTTGATTAACATTAAGGGTATTTAAAATTACACATGTAGTCGATGATATGCCTGAAATAAAAAATTCATTTTACAAGGAACTGGAGGGAATTGCTGTGCATGGTTTTTGTCGATAATAATTGTCGAGAGAGATTGACCGCGTGTTTGGTGTAGTGGAGAACTTATGATTATTGTGACGTCTACTGCGTACCAACCCTTTACACCCTAAAATCAGGATGCATATTCCCCATACTGCCCTCTATGCATTTCTTTTAGTACTTACGGGGAGAGTTTGTCTAACAATCAAGAGCTTGTTGAGTTCGTGACTGATCATTTTCTTTATTTCATGACCTTAATGTTTGATTCAGACGCTTATCACTGTGAGGGGTCAGAGGGTTAACGCCCAACAAGGGGTCGGAAATGAGAGATCCTTCCATTTGAGACCAGACAGATTAGTTAATTTAAAAATATACTCTGCTTCCTGTTGCTACTCGCTTGTTCCGAAATTTCACTTTCAATTATCGGAAAAAAGCTAAAAAGAAGTCCCGGAAAAGCTCGAACATAGTACAATTTGGCAGATGGCGTGACAGCTTTGGCTCAGCTCTATGCTCTATACTCTCATAGAGCACGCTCTTTTAACCAATGACAGCGCGCGTTATATCCGAACTTTATTATAAATTCCTGCTCAACGGAATATAGAATATATCGCCTAAAGAATCTGACTAAAAAATCTGTTTAGGACTTGCTGATTAACAGTTTTCCTCCCCGAATTCCCCCTATTTTGTGATGCTAAACGTTT